CGTAAGTCGTTTGGATAGGCATGTAGTCGTGTGACCAATGTAATTATTTATGAATTCGTCTTGATCAAGAACACATTTTCCACAATTGGCCCGAATAAAAAAATCAAATTAATTATCTACTACAAAAAATTTAAAAGAGCTAACCTTATCCTCAAAAATAACACATCAGCAAAGTCAAAATTAAAACGAGGGAACATTATCTATGGGTTTAAATGCCCCTTAAGAAACTATGTTCCTGATCAAACCGCTCGAACATTTGGGCAGTTTCTACACACCCTGTGTCCAAAACGAAAACACTTGTTCGAACACAAAAAGAATTAAATAAAAAGCACAATCGTAGTACCTTGTCTGTCGTTTTTAATAAAACATGCATATATATATATATATATATATATATATATATATATATATATATATATATATATAGGGGGGGTGCCTCCGTTTCCTAAAGGGTAATTATAACGCATACAGGGAGCAACACCTTTTGATAAATCAGGATCATTCGAGTTAATGCTAACGATTCTTTCCTTATCTGCATAGTATATGCTTCACCAAGACTACATACATACACACATGCATACATTTTCCCTCCACTCCATTAGCAAAGGATTTTTAGCTGCTCTTCATTTATTCAATTCATTTTTTTAATTGACAGCACTGTCGGTTGTCCCTAAACGGGATTTGTCACAAACAATGCAGTCGCAATAACGCATTTCACACCGCCGAACACATCTACTGTAAACGTTCAGCAAGCATCCATGAAAGTCAAAAATGGAATTTTCTTGCATAAGTTAATTCAATGACATATTTTCTTCGAATACATTTTCATATCTGATGTGATTTTACCAATCTGCCATTTGTAATAAAATAAAAAAAAAGTGTTATTGCTAGGAAGGTTTAACCTCTATTGACATACTATCAGTACCCATACCTGACGTTATGGGCCAACGTAACAATGACAACCTTTGTATATATGATGTGCCTGAGTCTGTTCATATCTCTATATACACCCTTGTGCAAATTAATTAAACAACTGCTTTAGTTTACTTTCTTTCACCGTGTGGTCGGTTTTAGACCCACTGGAGTGACATAGTGTAATCGATGTCTATTTTTCCTCAGGTCATTTTCAGAGGTGTGCAGTAATATGAATCTATTTTCAGGTGGGGGTGATGAAATTTGTTTTGCCTTGAAAAATATTGCGTCATCCGTAATTGCATCAAATTTTTTTCACGCTCGGATACTTGTCTTGACTGCCGATTAGTTGTCATACGGCCATTGTCTTCCAAGGAATCGTACGAAATTTTGTAACGCTACACGAACGCACTGGTAAGCCTTACCAGCGAGCAAATCAAAGTACAAGACTGGCCCCTAAACTCTCTTGATTTAAATCCAATCGAGAATCTGTGGTCAATCTGCATGGAACGTCATTGTGAAATGGACATACGAAGTACTAACATCTTCACTGGGTCATGTCTCATTGGAAACACACGAAAAAAAATAACGTAATTATTCGTTTTGTTTCAGTTAATTTGCACAAGGGTGTATGTATTTCTCTTAAAAGGTAATTTAGTCTAGTAAAAGGCTACAATAGTGTGAAGTACATTGTGAAGATCAAACTCACTTATTTAGTCTAAAAGATTTCTTTTATCTAACTGACACACTATGGCAGGCCTTTAAGCTGAGCCGGAAAGTATTTATGAATGATTGGAAATGTATGCGTTTGTACGGCGATGCGTATATGTGTGTATGTGTATCCATACCCGAGTGTAAATATGTTCATTTATGTTCTCGAACTCGTATTCATGCTTGTATGTGTAGACATATGTATGCGTGTGTGTACGCTCATGTGTGTGTGCGCTATATTTTCATTTAACGAACCTTGATTTCCATGTATTGTGTTCCCCACCTACACCGATTAGCCGCTATTCCATCTGACTTCTTTCCTCCCCTGAATTTTTGTTTCTACTTCTCTTTAAAAACGAACTTGCAGACTTTTGCTGACATATTTTTTTTATTCTTTTCCATCTTCTGATCATCATTCTTTGCTATTTTCGCTTCTTTTTCTGATGCTCTTGTTTTTAGAATTATTTCTTTGCTTATTTCCTCCGCCCCTCCCCTTCCTTTATTCAATTCTTACAATCACTCCTTTCTTAAGTTTCTTATATTTTCTGTGTCTTCGTTCCCGTCCTTCGCTTGTTCCTTCCTTCCTTCCTTCCTTCCTTCCTTCCTTCCTTCCTTCCTTCCTTCCTTCTTTCCTTCCTTCCTTCTTTCCTTCCTTCCTTCCTTCCTTCCTTCCTTCCTTCCTTCCTACCTTCCTTCTTTCATTCATTCTCCTCTTTTGTTTTCCTTCATTTTAGCGATTGACTGCGTATATTCTATCATCATCTCCATCATTCCTTCTTACTTTTTTCCAAGTTCATTAATTTTTCTCTTTCTTTTGTCTTCTGTTCGGGTTACTTTCCTACTTTCAATATATCTTCCCTTCATTGATTCTCTGTAAATTAATCTTTTTTAATTTTTTTCCTCATTATTTTTCTTCTTTGTGACTTCATTCATTCTGTTTTCTTCTTCGCTTTTTTTTCAATAGACTTTCGTCTTAATATTATTTTTTAAAGATTTAAATTATTCTATCATAAATCCTTAGATTGAGTTCTTTTAGAATTCATCTATCTATCTATATCTCTATCTATCTACTTGTTATATATATATATATATATATATATATATATATATGTGTGTGTGTGTGTGTGTGTGTGTTTGTGTACGTGTGTGTGTATGTATTTATATATGTATGCATATACATATTCAAATTTATATATATGCATAAATAGATATATATGAATTTATATGAATAAACACACTCACATATATATATATGTATATATATATATATATATATATATATATATATATATATATATATATTAAGACATTTTTATGTTTGTACATTCTTTTTATAGATACAAATATTTAAGTAAATGCTCTATTTTATAATAAAGAGTATTAAACAACATTTACAGGCCTGAATATCCGAGAAATTTTCACAGAAAATATTCGTCCTTCGACAAGATTCGAATTCTGTGAAAATTTCTCGGACATTCAGGTTTGGTAAATGTTGATTAATACTGTTTATTATAAAAACAGAGCATTTACTTAAATATTTGTATCCATAAAAAGAATGTATAAACTTAAAAATGTCTTAAAATAATTGTCGGACTTTGTCCATTTCATAATGTGTGACGTCATATATATATATATATATATATATATATATATATATCCCAAAGAATAATACTTTGGGGAACATACTCTGGCAGGGTGTTTTACTAAATACTACAATGAATGTTGACCTCTTCAAGTCTAAGATTAACTTGTATTCTTTCTGACATAATCCCATGAATTTCAGTTCTTGGCTATTCCTACACTTACAAGACAACACAGTAACCCCAAACCTGTAATTGGCCTTTGAACCTCGTACTGGGTGAACATTACATACATACATACATACATACATACATACGTACATACGTACATATATATATATATATATATATATATATATATATATATGGTAATCCCAAGGAGGATGAAATTCTGAGAGCTCAATGTAAATCCAGAGCTAATTATTTAAAAGAAAAACAGACCACTTTAAAGTACCATTATAATAATTTATTTCACCAGAGCCCTTTTAAAAGAACGCCGGATCATCAGATAGCATTCCAGTTCTTTTAAAAGGACTCTGGTGAAATAAATTATTATAATGGTACTTTTTAAAGTGGTCTGTTTTTCTTTTAAATTTATATATATATATATATATATATATATATATATATATTGTGTGTGTGTGTGTGTCAGGAGAGAGTCCGTGTGAACATAAGAATCAATACAACATGCCAGCTCTCGATTTAGCGCCTCATAAAAATCTTCTAACGAAAAAAAAAGCATTGTGTGAAACTGACAGTTCGTATGCGGTGTTGATGTTCACAAAGGCTCTGACTCTGCCAGTCAGCATTTTTAAAATGATATACGTATATATGTATATATGTACATCAACCACATTTATAATTTTCCTTCGGTTAAATATACTACTAGTTGATTTATATACTTTCTGTTCATATGTATCTCCTTCCGATATATATATATATATATATATATATATATATATATATATATATATATGTGTGTGTGTGTGTGTGTGTGTGTGTGTGTGTGTGTGTGTGTGTGTGTGTGTGTGTAAAAAAGTAAGGTTCGATATTACTGCAGTAGTATTGAATTTTATTTTCTGAATTTTGATCTGAAGTTTTCAGTCTATAATGTTCGGTAAATATGATAAATATTCACAACTGAATTAATTGCACATCGACAACAAAGAAATCGATGCTGGGAAAGCAACATTCAATATGGAAAATATTTACTTTTTATTACACGCTGCGCGGTCACGGAAGTTTTTATAGGTAATTAATTCTCAAACTTAGACTGTCACATGTATATAATAATGGTCCACCTGACTCAATACCACCTAGTGAGAATCGAAATAACTACACGTGTTATAATCTGTGGGATTAGATACTCTTCAGTGAGTCTCTATTTTCATATATATATATATATATATATATATATATATATATATATATATATATAATTTTGCTTGCTATTGTTAAAAATGTTGTACGAATCCCCCCACATATATATTTGTATATAAACGTATCTAGCTTCATTCCTATATCTCTGTATGTATATATATATATATATATATATATATATATATATATATATATATATATATATATATATATATATATATATATTTTATTGGATAGATGTGAGTTTGTGACCCTGGGTTTCACGCTTTAGCGATCGTCAGACAAACTGATTATTTATATACACCTTTCACACACACACACACACACACATATATATATATATATATATATATATATATGCATGTGTATGTGTAGATATTCATTCATATTTCATATTGAAAAAATATCATTAATCTTCCATACCTTCTTTTTAATAACATTCCAAAAAGCATTAGTTCTTTTTTCTTAGAAATATTTCTGTAGAATTGTGTAGTAAATAATTTTCTTATAGAATTGCAAATAATTTATTACAAAATCATAGTAAAGGCTTTTATTCTAGAAATAAATGACTTTTAAAAATTACTCTAATAATATTTTCTCTATACCTATGTGCACACAGACACACATACATATATACATATATATATATATATATATATATATATATATATATATATATATATATATATATATACTTTTCTTAATTTACAGTACACTTTTTCTCGATTTTAGTTTTTCTTCCTTTCAAGTCAGTCACGCGTGAATGTCAAACGGTTACCATCTCAATCACATCTCCCACTTTTCATTTTATTTCAGCAACAACAGTCACTCAAACCAATTAGATTGCAAATGCACATCGTTCATGAAAAGTACAACAAATAAAAAAATAAGGAAGCAAAACAACAAAACGCAGAACAAATCAAACGAAAACAAGTGAAATTAAATATAGGTGAAAGAAACAAAATAACACGATAGAGGTCAAAAGAAGAAATGGACGATTCTGCCGATGGTGGAGACGGAAGTATGCAAGCCGCCATGTTCATTTTGATCCGTCTTTTTCAGTACCGCTTCACTAAATTTTGACAAATATACTACGAAAGACATTTCATTTTTTTTTTTTTTTTGGAAATATTTTTACTGTTCTTATTGACGAGGGTTAAAGTTTTGATAGAAGGTACTTGTCTCTGATTTAATTTACTATTATGCTTTTCTTTAACTGCCCTTACTTTTACATTTGTACAAAGTATAGAACTGTAAGATAAATAACGACTATAGAGAGGCGATGCTTTTAGTTTAAGAAAAATACGTAGAAAGAATGTAGGAGAAAATACACTGACGATACACAATAAAAGTGTCTATATTTTATTTTTGGTTCTTTTATTCTTAGATTTCTAGACAATTTTACACTCAACAGAATGGAGATAAACTCAGGAATCTTTATACAGGTTGTATTCATTTAATCAGGCAACCTTGAACCTGAGCATTGCCAGACCACATAAAATATTACAAAACAGAAAATTATCAATTTTTAGTGATTAATCCAATAATGGAGAAAATAGACGATCATGTTTTAAATATTATTTATGTGGAATGTCTTATAATAAACAAAAACTATGTGTAACGGCTTCTGCATTGTGGTTGGCTGTATTAAGCATAATTGATATTTAGAAGAAAATAAAAGCATATCTAATTTTATACTATTGTATACACCGAAAATTGTCAAATTTAGAGTTCCTTTGATTCCGTTTCAAGTTGCAGTTTGGAAATGAATCGGTTTATAAAACACTAAATTATAATTGAATCCTTGATTTGAAACCGTAATCGAAGACTTTAGTTACAAATGCATAAATTAATAGCAACAGACTTAAAACATATAGGACGACGAGGGTTTTTCGACCGTAGATCGTCGGAATAGAGAAAGATACAAATGTACCTGATAATCATTTTAAATATTGGATACTAAATCCTATGTATGTTTATTCAAATCTGACTATCTACAAGTATATCATTCGGATCTACTTTCGCCCACTAATAATGTTGCAAGCTTTTAATCTAACTTTTGACATTACCAGTAAGAAACAAATATGTCCCAATCTCTCTCACTTATTCTATTGCTTGCATATTTACCAATACGGGAAATTTTAGCTATAAAGGAAAAAAAGGAACAGCAATTCTTATAGTATAGTGACGAATTTATATGAACCAAATGACTTCTTTTTTTATTTTAGCCACAGACGTCACTGCATTCCACCATCTAGACAGTATTAGGCATTTTCTGTCTTAACAATATGAATATTTATACTGATAGAAAATATCTTTCATAATTTAATTCCGAATTTTTTAAATTTTTTTTCTAAAATGTGTTTTAGATAATGTCGGTCCTTTATATATTTGGCAATGAAAATTAAAAATAATGGAAATGTGTTGCGTATAGTTTTATGCCAGAAATACATTAAAATGTTAATATATATATATATATATATATATATATATATATATATATAAAAAGAAATATAGTTTTAAGGTTTGCTATATTTATTTAAGTGCTCAATATCAGAGATAGAGAGTGTATCAGGAGGCCTGACGATTGCGTCTAGCATGAAACAGTCCGTCGCCTCTGAGTGTTGACTTCAATGTTCACTTTTATTTGTTTATGTATATATATATATATATATATATATATATATATATATATGTGTGTGTGTATATATATATACATTGAATATATATATATATATATATATATATATATATATATATATATAGTGAATATATATATATTCACTGTATATATATATATATATATTCACTGTAGATATGTATTGCAGAGCAGAAATAAAGAAGAAATAATTTGTCATTGATCAAAAATGAAAGCAAATATTATAAAGCATATGTATTGCTGATGATTTGCTAGAGT